GATGGTGTCAGTATCACAATGGTCTTTGGCAAATGTAGAATGCTGGAATGCTGCAGTCACAGTGCATTGTTTCTTTACTGCTGTTAATGGGCCTGCTGTTTCAGAGTCTTCTCTTCTTCTCTTTTCATTCTGTTTATGCTTAGTGCTTTCCATGCATTCCATAATAATCTGCTTTTGAACAAGGTGTATAGCCTTGCTGCATGCAGTGCAAAACAACATAGTACCATCAGTGTGAAATTTGTCCTTGTCAAACTGAGTGACATGGTCTTTAAGGGGTGACTTTTGCACTCTTTGGCATCTTTTCTAGACTTGAATGCAATGTCTGGAGGCTGAAGAAAAATTTGAGACGCATCAAAACATAAGCTCCTGTACTCAGGGACCAACTCAATCCAAGATTGCATTTTTTTCATGGAAAGTGTGAAATCAAGTGTTTTCTGTGAAAAATAGCAAGCAAGCCCCAAGATTTTGTTGGGTTTGTGGGGGAAAAAAGGACTTTGTGGTTCCACACTGAAAAGGTAGGAAGCCTTCCCACCCTAGAGCAAGTTGTGGCAAGTCCTACCAGAGCTTTTGAACATGAGGTTGGGGTCCTGCAGTCAACACGGGACTGCCAGGCTTTTGGTGCCGGTGCAGCCCCTCAGCAGCTACTTTTAGAACCCAAGCCTGCTCACAGGAAGGTAATCCTCCCTCTCCACCCCCCACATCCCCCCAGTCTATACCAGTCTGACCCAGGAAGCAAAACTAGCCTGGACAGACATCCAGGCAGCTCCAGTTTCTTGGACAGGTTTCCCAGTTGACTGTACCTTACAGCATCCACTCTCTGCCACTGTGTGACATGGGCCTATTTGATGCGCCAAGGAAGATCATGAGCCAAGACAACCAAAGAAACTACAAGCCTCCCATAATAAGAGAAGCTGCTACAAACATATCAACTAAAAACTTAGGACACAAATAAAACAAGGAAGAGAGTGAGGGTCACAGGATAATAACAAGGGATGCAGATGGGGACAGGGAGCAGAGCATACCGGCCAAAGCCCACTGGCCCTGCCTGTTCATGACACCCAGTGACATTCTGCCTGGAGACATCTAGAGGAAAACTCACCTGGGTTCTCTGTATCCAGAGCCTCCTTCCTACAAGATGGACCCAGGGTCTGCCAGAGCCAATGGCAGTTCTTATGCCTTCAAATGGCTTATGCCAAGCATAGGTCTGCCAAAGCCCAATGTGGAAGGTAGGAGGGGTTCTACATGCCTTTGAGTGGGGGGTAAGGGGGGTTCTCTGTAGGGTTGCCAACTCTGAATCTATTCTGGGAGGTCTCCAGAAGGCCAATGTGCCTGTGCCATACAACATGAACATGCCCACATTCTTGCATATATCAGTTATGGATTACAGTGTGTAGCTTTACTTCAGGAAGGCAAATGCATATGACTATTACATTTTAAAAGCCACTGGACTTCTGTATAAATTGGATTCAACATTTAATATTTATTTTAATGAATGCCCTATCTTTTATGTCTCAGGTGACTCTTAGCAGTATCCTGGAGATTTATATCTAATTCCTGGAGACTCCCGGGAAATCCTGGAGGGTTGGTAACCCTAGTTCTCTGTAGTGTTGACCATGGGCAGCCATGGGCAGCCAGCAGCAAGATCCAAGGCTCTGTAAACCAAACTGCTACTCACACACCTGGTGCCTTGTTGCTTACACAAACAGTTAAATCTTTTCTGCCATCTCTATGCCATTCTATCACCATTCACCCTTTCACATACATTCATTCAAAAAAGGGCATACAGAGTTCATTCACTTATGTCAAGCAAAAGAATACAAAATGGAGTTTTCAGGTTACTTACAGGACAATACTAACATGGTTACCTTTCACTACTATGACAATTTATGTTAACATCAGCTACATTAGTTCAGTTCATGCTACACAGAGCAGGATGGTGCACAGTCCTGCTTTTGATGGCTAGAAAATAATATTTAGAGGTTTTCTTTTGGGAATTGGTTTGTAGGTAAAGTAGATATGTTCCAGGGGAATGGCAAGGGTTAAGTGGTTTCTAAAAGCATGTTTGTGACAAAGTTTCCTTCAAGGCCCACTGTGTCTGAAGCCAGCAGACACACAGGATGGGAAATTGAAGACATGTACCACACTGTTCCATAACATGAACAGTGTATCCAAACAGAGATAAGGAACTTTGCAGAGATAAGGAACTCCAGGTCACAGTTCCCAGCTGCAGAGACCATGGGATTTCAGACTTTGGACAGAACAAATTAGGAGACTAGTAAATAACCAAATTAAGCTGTGTGCATGTGATGGGTTTGGGGAGAAAAGTAATATGCTGACAGGATAGAATGTGCCCAGTATGATGACCACAGGGAAACCAGTCAATGATGCCCAGGAATGAAGAGTCATAAGAGGAGAGAAAGAATACAAAAGGAGGGATTTCAGATCAGCAAAGGGTCCCAGAGAGGGGAACTTGAGGCCCCCATGGACAGAGGGCTCACCACCAGCCCGTCTCACCCACCTGACTGATGGGTGGTGGGCCTCAGCTCTTGACCTGCAGGCTGCTGACATCTAACATTCAAGAGAGAACCACAGAATGAAGCGTGCGTACTGGCCAGATATACCTTCCCTCTATGACAGTCCTAGGACTGTTAGATATAGAATTGGGGAGGTTATTTTGTTTGCTTTGCTTACATTATTCTTATCTGATATCACTGTGTATCAATAATATTTGCCTATTATCAAATGGAGAAGTCACGGTCGGTCTGAGGTTTTGGGTCCACCCGGAACAAGAAGAATTAATATCTTTAAGGTATCTGGGTCATAAATCCAGTGCCAACACTCTATCCTCCCACTTCCTTCCAAGAAACCATCTTGAGCCATGCAACACACTCCCGCTCTGAGCCTCCCTTGCTTGCAGCACCTCAGCCTGAGCTGTAAAGTATGGGGAGCTAAAGCCATCCCTGGTCCCTGCCAGGCCAGGGGCATAGCTGGAGCCCCTCCCACCCCACCCCTAGGGCTGGCTTGGAGATTGGGAGCTCACCAAGGTGAGGAAGGGGGCACCGCCCTTACCTAGCAGGACATACAGTGCCAGCAGCAGCAACTCCTGCAGGGAGTGCAGCCTGCTGTGCCTCATGTCTGCTGGTCCCTGCCACAGCCTCTCCTCTCTGGGTGCCTTCATTGCTGCTGCCCCGAGCTCCAAGCTCCCAGCCCCACCCAGAGGAGGAGAACCTAGCCCTGCTTCCAGTCGCCCTGCCTCCAATCACCCTCTCCTCATTCCTCCCAGCCTCAAGCAGCTCATTGCAGGCTGGAAATCTGCCAGCCTGCAAGGGGAAACTGATGGTTTCCTGCTTCAAAGGGGAAAATTTGTGTTTTTTTTCCTTCAGTGAGAGAAAATCCACATTTTTCTGCATTTTCTGCAGAAAATGGAAAACCCAGGCCCCTGTTTATGAGTTAAGTAACAATCCCACAAACTCCCCTAGTTTCCCTCTTAATACAAAGCAAGCACACAATTTACAGAGGTAATTTGTGGAAGAAAAGAGACAGCAAGAGAAAAAGTTCCAACAAAGCTCTCATACATTTTGGGCTTGTCAATACTGCCTCCGTAGCAAACCCAAGAGCACTGCTATGAAGTATGCTCCACCCTCTCAGACCCTCTCTGTGTGGGCCAAATATTGGGCATGGCCATCCTGAGGGTACACCAACAATAACATCTGAGAAATAGCAGATCTGGCCCACTGTAAGGCAACTATATTGTAGGAGTGTGTAAAGCTTCAGATCGGATTTGGAGAAGATTCGGCCCAATTTGGAGGCCAAATTACCGAATCCCAATAGAACTGGGAGAAGAAAAAAAAACCTCTGAATCAATTTGGAGCCTCCAAATTGATTTGGAAAAGATTCTGAGATTCAGAGATTTGGAAGGCAGTCTTTCAGGGGAACAGAAACTGAGAAGAGGGAGGGGGAGCAGGGGGCGACAGACTGACATCTGCAGCTGGCCAGTGACTGTGATCTTTCCTTGAGCCCCCTTCCAATCGCAGTGCTCTAGGTGAGGGACTTAGAAACAGCATATGAGCCTCTGTCTGCAGGCTTTCTATGCCTTTTGTGAGCTGTTTCTGACTGAGTAACAGCGTCTGAAGGTACTGAACTGGCTTGGCTTCCTACCTAGTAAGTCTCCTGCTACTTTCTGTTCTTGGAAAGGATTGGATTTAGCTTACTAACTAGAATCCCTCTACTTATCCCTATCCAATCCATTTCTTTCAATTTATATTTGTTCTTGTTTGGTTTTTTCCCCACACTTCTTTAAAAAAAAGCTGTGTTTTACCTGGCAGTGAAACCCCTGCACCTATCTCCTTGAAACTTGGCAGGCCTCATGCCCTCAAAAGGGGATACCATCCCTCCTGTTTTCATCCAAATATGCCTTAACACACATGACACGAGTTTAGCTTTCAGCTGCGTGAGGTACAGTTTCCCAGAAACCCCATCATTTATCTCCTTGAAACTTGGCATGCTTCATGCACTCAGAGTGAGCTACCATCCCTGCAATTTTTATCTGAATCAGCCAAAAAATGACAGTTATAGGTATTTCAGTGATTCCCCATTATAGTCTATGGCTGCATTTCCGAATCTCTCTGAATCAGCACCGAATTTTCCACAGCTGATTCAGCCAAATCGATTTGGGACAGTGATTCAAATCTCCAAACTGAATCATTGTCCTCTGAATCAGCTGAATCCAAATCGAATACTTCCCTATTCACATAGGCCTACTATATTGCCACTATTGAATTTTATAACATTATTTAAAGATTTCTTGTTTGTTTTATTCTGATGTTAATTTAAAGTTAAAAATTAACTAAAATTGAGAACAGGGTACAACAATGATGTTACATTAGTACTGCTTAAATATTTTTTTATACAAGTGTAAACATAGTATATTTGTTTCCTCATAAGAAAATTATTGATCTGATCCAGTCCTGATTGTGATATTTTTCTTTTCTCCTCACCAGGATTACACCTTAACTATGTATTTTCAACAATACTGGAGAGATAAGAGACTAGCTTATGCTGGAATACCTCTCAATCTTACCCTTGATAATCGAGTGGCTGATCAACTCTGGGTGCCTGACACTTACTTTTTAAATGACAAGAAGTCATTTGTGCATGGAGTTACAGTGAAAAATCGAATGATCCGCCTTCATCCAGATGGAACAGTGCTTTATGGCCTCAGGTCTGTACTTTATGATAAAGATTTCATAAGCATTGTTTTGTATTGTTGCTATTTATTTCTTGGTACAAGGTTATTACAAACTCTGTGTAGCATATTATGCAACCTTCAGTTTCAATCAGAAAGATGCCTGTAGAAAATAAATGACACACTCAATGTTTCTTAATTTTGCCAGGAGTGTCTTCAGTCAGCTCATATCTGTTTATGTCTAGTAACCATATCTGGAAATGCCTGTGGTTACAGACATTAATTGCAAACCTGAACATCCATTTAAAAAACATGGACAGGGAGGTGTTATCTCCTCTGTTGATATCCAGGACTCTGTAACAGGAAAAAAATCCTGAAACACTAGAATCAAGTACATTTAAAACATAAATGCATACATCTTCTAGTTTTTTTCTAGGAGGACCCAATGCTGAGCTCTACTGAGGCCACTTTAATTTTTACTCTGAAAGTGTAAATGGCCCTTAAAATACACTGCTTGCTATATACTTTATAGCTTTGCTGGAACAGCTGTGTCAATTAGGAGTATGAAGAAGTCACCCCCTTAACAGACCAAATTAGGCACTGTTATAATAGTAAAAATGTGCTTTTTCTAGTACACCTTATTCTACACAGGACACTAGTTCAGGCTGGTCTAGTAAAAAACAGTATTGCTAGTAGGAACTGCATCTACTCTATGGGACATTCCCACTAGTTCTATCAGCATAGCCACATCAATGAAAAATGTTAAGGGTAAAAAAGCTTCAAGCCCCTGTATACTATCAGACCAGTACAAAGGGGTCTAAGCACAAATTAGAATCAAACCTGAACAGTTTAAGAGAAATTTCAGAAAATATAGAATTATTTCTAGAACCTGCAACAGGATGAAGTCAAGTCAAGTCAGTCCTGAGGCCGCTGTGACTATTGGAGCACCTTAGATGCTATAAAAACCCTCCTAGGTTAGCTGAGTTGCTTTGCATCATTGGTGATTCTTCGGGCAGAGTGACCTGGTGACACCCATCTCCTCTGCAGGTATGGATGGCCATTGGCTCACAAGGACCTCATCCGCCCTTTGACAGGTCCTGTTTTTAGCCTTGCTGGGTATCTACACACCCTCTTCATCTGGGCTAGCCCAGGTGGGGGCACCAGTTTAGTTGCTCAAAGCCCAACTATGGACCAGGCTGCACTGGTTAACATGGTACCAGACAGCAGACTAAGGCAGTCCTGGCCTAAAAGGCCAAGCTTGACCACAAACAGGATGGAGATAGGATATATTTCTAGCATCGCCATTCGACTATGATACTATCTCTCCTGTTTTTATCTGGAGTTTCAGTTTCACTTGACATGGCCTTGACTCCTCACCCCCCCTATGATCTATTAAATTTTGTGTATTAATTATGATTGGCTGAGTCTTTTTTAGATAAAAATAGGAAGACTCACACTTTTATGAAGGGCTTGAAGAAACTGAGTACATGAATGTTCAGAAAATGATTGTGGTGCAACTGGGTTTGATGAAAGAAGTATTTTGCTTTCATTTAGCTTTGCATGCCAGAGATCAGTGTTTCCACTTTTGATACCTGGCACCCACTTTTTTCTGTATTAAAACTGTTGGCACACTTCACTCTTACACCCAAAAAGGTATATACATATATATTTCAAAACTTATATCCCACCACCCTTCCAGAGGAAATCATACCAGTGCTGAGATCTACTGTAAAAAATAACACTAAATACATCTTTCTTTAAGCAAAGATTAGTCTCTATGGGCATTTTTACATATGTATTCATTGGAGCACCGGGCACTTTGAAAAGCACCCAGTGCTGAAATGCATACAGTTGTATAAGCAGTGAAATGCACATCAGAGCAAAGAAAAGAGCGGCGGGGTGCTTTTGAACTAAAACACCTCAGAGGTGCTTTAGTTCAAAATCTCATCACGCCATTTTCTGCGTGCTAGTTCGCATTTCGACACTTATACAACTGCACGTGGTATGATGCCATTCACCTTAGCTCACATGCGGAGCAGACTCAATTAAACAGTGGATCTCTGGCGCATCACTAGAAAAAAAATATGTGTATAAATGCCCTATACCAGTGGTTCTCAGCCTTTTTTAGCATCGAGGCCACCACTCCATAACTTTTCTGAATCTCACAGTACCACAGTTAAAAACGCTGAGATCTAAATTCAGAAAAGATACAGAGGAGGGCTTTGAGGCTAAAAATAGTTGAGAATCACTGAACTAGCTGGTGCCACTTAAGGGCATCTGAGGCAGGGCCTCACACTGCTGTGCCCTGTTCTTTCTACTGTCTGACCCTTCCCAACCCCCCTCAGGGGGGAAGGGCAGCCCCCTGCAGGATCTCTCACACGGGTGACCAGCCCCACAGCCCCTTCTGCCAGCCCTAAGGAGCATGGGAGGAGTGGAGGAAATGAGCCAAGCTGCAAAGAATGGCACTGTCTATGTCCACCTGCCCTCCCACTTGCAGCAGAATGAGCTGCTGGGAGCATTGGTGGTGGGATCAGCACAAGGGCTTTCTGAACTGGGGAAGGGCAGGAAAAGGCAGCAGAAGTGGTAGCAGTCCCCAGAGGCACCACTGGCCTAGACAAGGGAGGAGAGCATTTATCCACAAGGCAGTCATGCAGTAAACTTCCGTCCCTCTCACAGCACACTAGTGTGTCACAGCCCACCCTCTGGGAATCACTGCCATAGAACATATTCAAAATGGCAAGATGTTTGGTGGTCTTCCTATGAGAATTTAAATATCTACAAAAACCTTAGAAAATATATGTTTTTACATTACTTCCAAATATGAGCCAATTAGCTGACTGGCACTCCCAGCTTTAGAGGCACACTGAAGTTAAGGGCTCTGATCAACTTCTGAGGTTGGGAGTGTCAATCAGCTGACTGGAGCTCCCAGCCTTGGAAGTGCACCAGAGTTAAGGGCTCTGATGCACTACCAAAGCTAGAAGTGATTGTCCTGGCGACACATTTAATTTAAGGCATGATGGAAATCAGCTACAAAGTTATTATGCATATTTTGTTTAATAACTTTGTGATTTATTGCCTGTTTTATTGCATCATTAATTGCATAAATGTGTGGCCAGGTAACTACTTAAGATATGATTAAACTGGTTGAGCATATCCTAAATGTAACGTCTGCAAGGGCCTCACTCTCCATTTCCTTCATACCAAATATAGACAGCACTAGAGCCCAGCTTTTGCAGTATATCTGAGCTTTCAAATAACTGGATGAAGTTAAACTTTACCTGGGGCTGATAAAAAGGGAGTAATATTTGAATCCTTGACACCATTGATCAAAGGAGGGCATGTCTACATGTGCATTTATCCAGCTTAAAGTTACTGTGCAGTAAGTGAGAATAGGCTGGTGTCTACATGTATGGGTGTTAAAGCACATTAATGCTGTTTGGACCGGCTTGGGAATAAAGTTAGTCCTGAGTCAGTCCACACACAGTCTTACTGTACAACAAGGCATCTACATATGCATTACTGTGTAGCAAGTAATTTGACATAAATTTTAAACCTGCATAATGCAGGTATCAAATTTACACCCAAGTTGGCATAAGTCACCATATTTACTGCACAGTCCAGGTGTGCATGTATAGATGTGCACCCATTCTGCGCAGTGATTTCAGTTACTGCACAATAAATGTGCATGGTGCATGTGTAGACACACCCGTAATCTATTATTCAGGAGCTAAGGCGATATGCAGACAGTTGGTTATTCTAGGTTCTTTGCTGCGTGTAATTACTCAAATGGTATCAGTAATAAAAACACATTCCTTCTAAATGTCTTCAACCTCTCAGGAGACTATGCCTCTTCCTGTTGAATACGAGCCTATGGGGAAACTGGAGATGTTACAGGAGGAAGTGGTCCATTTTTTGAGCAACTCCAGTTCTCAAAAATGTGTAACTAAAGTGACGCACATGCCCCACTCACTCACTGCACCCTACTTGACATGACTGACCGCTAATTTTTAAAGTGATTGAGCCTTAGTTATCTCAAATTTCTCTGCTGCCTCAAAGACAGTGATTTGCCACAAACACCATGGTTCATAAAGAATGATGTATATAATAACTCCAAGAATGAGACAGGTGCTTTTCAAAACCTGGCCTGTGGTTTTGAAAGTTCCTTCCATCACACATCGTATTGATGACAGATCTCATTATGTGCTAAAGAAGTAAAACATTTGTGTCTATACAATATTTCCTCAATAATAATGCAGAACAAATCAAATCAAAACAAAAGGTTTTTAGAAAGAGGGGATGGAAAATATGGCCTATTTGATTGTTTACATGCATACCATAAACAAAATCAGTTTGCCCAAGACATCATAAGAATGAATGTTATAAACCCACAGAAAGAAGAACATTTTTGTGAGTCTCTACTATGATTATTGTAGTTTAATAAGGCACTCAGTCTTGAATGTAACTCTTAATATCGAGCTAGGAGGAGCATTGAAATAACCAATAGCTCCCTCACAGAGAATTTTACACAATTTAGATTAATCTCTTTGGGCAGGAACCATTTGATTATCTTGTGTCTGTATTATGACTCCTGGCACAATAAAATTGAGATCCCTAGGTAACAAGTTAATATAATAATAAAGTTCAGGAAGAAGTAGCAAGTAAAAAGCTGGATAAGGGGACCTTATGCAAGTGCAAATCTTTCTTTTCTGTATTGCATTCATCTAAAATAATATGTATTTGTGTTCGGCCTGATGTTTATTTGACCCTTTTAACAGTTTCTATGTCAGTGCTCTGATGCTAGGTTCTGGGAGTCCTAGCATCCTACTGTGCCAGGCAGTATCTCGTCCATAACAAAATTAATAGAAATGTTTCTTTGTGAGAGCAATATGAGCTTGAAGGAAAGTATTGAAAAATACATCAAATCATCCAATCCAGTTCTTACTTACTGGTCATAATAAGGTCCAAGACATATGACCCTTGGTTGTAACCTCAACTCTTTGTTCAGAAAGTTATCCTCTGCATACCTAAGAAGTTAC